TTTTTTTTTTAATATTTATTTTTTAGTTTTCGGTGGACACAACATCTGTATTTTATTTGTATGTGGTGCTGAGGATCGAACCTAGCGCCCCATGCATGCCAGGCGAGCGTGTTACAGCTTGAGCCACATCCCCAGCCCGGCATGTATAATTTTTAATAATTAGAACAATTTTTTAAAAATCTAAACAAAAGGGGACTGGGGATATAACTCAGTTGGTGAAGTGCTTGCTTTGCATGCATGAGACACTGGGTTCAAATCCCAGTACCACCAAAAAATAAAAAGAAAAAAGAAAAAAAAAGATCTAAACAAAACACTTTTTTTGGGGGGCTGGGGATGTGGCTCGAGCGGTAGCGCGCTCGCCTGGCATGCGTGCGGCCTGGGTTCAATCCTCAGCATCACATACCAACAAAGATGTTGTGTCGGCCAAGAACTAAAAAATAAATATTAAAAAATTCTCTCTCATTCTCTCTCTCTCTCTCTCTCCCCTCTCACTCTCTCTCTAAAAAAAAAAAAAAAAAAAAAAAAAAAAAACACTTTTTTTAAAATTTATTTTTTAGTTTTAGGTGGACACAGTATCTTTATTTTATTTTTATTTTTATATGGTGCTGAGGATCAAACCAAATGCCTCATGCCTGCCAGGTGCGCGCACTACTACTTGAGCCACATCCCGAGCCCTAAATAAAACACTTTTTAACTTTTAAAAATAATATCTTAATGCTTATTAGTAAATAATTTCTGAATACTTTATAGAATTTATATTTGAAAAAAAATTAAACTGGGTGTGGTGGCACACCCTAGTTGATCAGTAAGTGAAGGTAGGAGAATCACTCCAGCCCAGGAGTCCCAGGCCAGCCTGGGCCACAAAGCAAGATCCCATCTCACAAAAAGAGAAAAAAGCCAGGTGCAGTAGTGAATACCTTTAATCCTAGTGACTTGGGAGGCTTAGGTAGGAGGATTGCAAGCTCAAGGCCAGCCTCAGCAACTTATCAAGGGCCTAAGCAACTTATAGAGACCCTGTCTCAAAATAAAAAATAAAGGTGTGGGATGTAGAGTTCAGTGGTTAAGTGCCTCTGGGTTCAAATCCCAGTACAAAAAAAAAAAAAAAAAAAAGATTTGTGATAAATTACTGAAATACACCTGATCATGAGTTCCCCAATACTATCCTCTCTCCTACAATCTAGCACTATACGTAGACTTTTTATGCATTGTCCAATACAGTATTATTGAGTTACACAGGACTGAGCATTGGATTTGCAATCTTTTTCATGCTGTGCTGGGGATCACACTTAGGGCCTCGTATGTACTAGGTAAGTGCTCTACCACTAAACTATACGTACTCACAGTCCCCAATTTTATTTAACTTTAACTAAGCTACATTTAAACTTAAATAACCCATACAGTTCATGACTATTTTATTGCACAGTATATATCCAGATTATTAAATATTCTTGGCAGTCACATCTTGTTTTAACAACAAATGGAAGAAAATGTTTCTTTGGTAGGTACTGGTAATTCTTAAGACTAGTAATATAGTTGTACCTACCCTAAAGATCTGAACGTATAACTGAGGAGCAAACAAAAGAAGACATACAAAAAGAACAAAATGGGGATAAGTATAGTGATTCCACAAGGCACAAGATAGTATGCAAATACCTAGAAGGAAGAGTTAACCCAAGGTGGCAAGGAAGAGGTGTGGCATTAAGACTTAAAGTAAGTCTTAAAGGATGAATAGGCATAACTGAAGGCCTCATGATCTTACATGTGAACCATTCTAATGGCATTCAAATGGATTCTTGCCACCTCCTGGCTTTGCAACAACAATGGTTCCAACACACCACTGCTTTATCAACATTCCTAAACATGCAGTTCAAATGATACCACTCTTTTGCAAAATTTTCTGCAGAATTAAATCCAAATTCTTACAGGTTGATAAACTGTACAAAGAAACCTTACTTAGTCTTTTAAGGATCCTTCTGTACCAGATACAAATTATCTTTTCAGTCATGTTTTCTATTATTCCACTATTCTCATTTAATAGCTAACCGAAATGGAGTCCCAGTGAGACAAATTCTTTTTTTTTTTTGTACCAGGGATTGAACCCAGGGACGCTTAGAGCCACATCCCCAACCCTTTCTTATATTACAGATAGGGTCCTGCTGAGTTACTTAGGGACTCACTGAGTTGCTGAGGCTAAATTTGAACTCCTGAGCCTCCTGTGACAGTCTCCCCAGTCACTCGGATTCCAGGCATGTACCTTTGCAATGGGCAAAACAAATACTTTTGACTCATCTCATCAAATAATACTCTTGTCTCTGCTAATTAAGGTGGGGTAAGAGCTCACAGGAATCAGGTATGTTAGTTAACCAGGGTGGGATGGGGTGTTTAGAAAACAACTGAATATCTAAGGATGGTCTCAAATATCCACTTAAAGAATGCAAAATTGATAATAAGGCAGATTCAGTGAAAACTGATTATTTATTTATTTATTATTGAGACAAGGGTCTCACTTTGTTGCCCAGGCAGGTCTTCAACTCCAAGGCTCAAGCCATCTTCCTGTCTCAATATTCAGAGCAGTTGTGACTATGTACATGTCTTGTGCCACTGTACCTGACTGAAGGTTTATTTTTGAGAATAGGATTATCATGGTTAAATCACTATTTAAAAAAGATGTAACTAACTTTAAAAGTAAAAAAGTAATCTGAATTTAGTAAAAAAAAAGAATTCAGGAATCAAGCTAAAGGAACCTGAAGGTACAAAAATGGAYAGAGAGGCCACTGGACACATTTTGAGGTAAGAACTGAAAGGTTCCAGTAAATGAGAATGAAAAAAAGGGAATAATAAAGGACTACAGTGAAATACGATTTTTGTAGACCTGGCTGACCGCTCAGTTTTTAAATCTGCACCAAATTAAATTTGTGTAATGYTTTCACAATATTTCAAAAGCTTTTTAAAAAATCTATTCTAAATAAATATTTATATGGTTGATAAACTGTGCAAAGAAACCTTACTTACCAAAGCAGGATACCATTCAGTCCTCTCAACTGTAGATACCACACAAACAACTTTTCCTAATAATTCGTCATTGAGACGTTGCTTATCTTCATCTTCTTCTTCACTACTTTCTTCTTCCTTTTCATCTTCAGTACTACAAGTTAGAATAACCGGATCATTATGCTAACATAAATCATTATTCAACACAATCAAAGTGGTTTGAATTTAGTATGTTGAATTCAGCACATAATGTAGTAGACTCTCTATTCCTATTGGAACTAAGGAGATGGATACTTTCTTAGCCGCACACAAGTCATCCCTGAGTTGTCTATGGCAACTGAGCCCACTTTACTGTATCAAGTAGGTCCTCATAGAAGCCACCATCTGGGACARAAAAGGCTAACTACACCACCATTAAGTACTTACATTTTTGAAGATTGCATTTCTGTTTTTTAATGCCAGAGGTCAGATAATAAATTTTAGTTTTCTAACAGTCTATGAAAATATCTCAGGAAAACAGAGATGAAAGTTTATCTATGTAACTTCTCTGGATAACAAAAGTTTATCCTAAAGGGTAATCAGTATGTATTAATTGTAAGCCTATAATCTCTTTTTAATAAAAATGTATATGTACTCCCATTTGAATTATTGAATAATCTGATATCTTAAAAACATCCTGCATTACATTGATATGGCTGGAGTTTACTACAGGTATACAAAACTATTAATTCTTATTAAGTGGTTCAAATTCATTCAGTTCCTTATCCTGTTATGGTTTCATTCCTTCTTTTCCTCTTCATAGATGACAAACTCCACACTGCTTTTTTTTATTGTCTCTATTGATCAGTTTTTTAAATCTTCTTCTAACACCTCTATTTGCTTCTCCAAAYAGAGAAGCACTTTTGAGAAACCAGATGACTCAACTTTTTAAAAGGATAKATAAAATAAGTGTGAGCAAGATTTTGCTAAAAGTCTAAGAGACTAACCTAAGAATAAAATATTTAGATATTAATGATTTATTGAATACATGTAATATACCAAGTTCTTATTATACATGGAAAATTTATATATATTATCTAACTTCCTCCAAACTGGCCAATGCATTATCATTTCCATTTTTCTCAGTTATGAACCAAGAATAGTATCTTGCAAGTTTTGTGAACACTAGAGTAAATATATGTAAATGTACTTAATTTCACAGAGGTGAAATAATTTCTCCAAACTAACATATCTAGGAAGTAGTGGAATGGATACCTCCACTTAGGGACCCCAAAGATCTTTTATTACTTTCTGGTTTTCAACTTAAGCATTACTGACTTTGCCTTTTAAAATCTTCACTATAAAACCTCCCCACCCTCTCCCAGCTGCAATAAGTACATCTGATACTTGGGTCTTATACTTGGGTCTTGGTTTCTAACTACTATTTTCCACTAAAAGATACAAGGGTCCCTGGAGAAATGGCCAATTCCAGAGTTGAGGCAGGAAAAAAATAACATGAGGGTAAGATACTTTGTCATGCCAGAAAGTGACAAAATGCTCAAGAAATGGTGAGGATATGTTGAAAGGGCACARAGAGGCTCCTGCTGGCTAAAACTGGGACAGCTTGAGCATCAAAATTAATTTTTAAACAGTGAATCATAACCCATTAAGTAAAATTAAAATTCATGAGTCCATAGTGATAAGGAAAAGATTTTTACTGTAGTTACATGATAGCTAAGAAATGTAACAAACACACAAAAAAATTTTTTTAAAAAATCACCATTTTGGTATTATAGTGGTAGGCAAAAATTATTGACTAACAAAGACCACTGAAAGTTTGATAAAGAACACAGTAGGGCTGGGGTTGTGGCTCAGTGGTAGAATGCTCGCCCAGCATGAGTGAGGACGTGGGTTCGATCCTCAGCACCACATAAAAATAAAGATATTGTGTCCAACTAAAAAATAARTATTAAAAAAAGAACACAGTATTTAAATAATTTTAAAGTATCATCACACAGATTCATGAGTTACAAAAGGGAAAATGGTAAACTATGATTAATTTCAAAGTTGAGAAATTTGGTAGACAGCACCTTAAGTAGGTGATCAAAGTTAATATCACCAATTATGGGAAAAACTGATAACTTACACTTACAAATGCACCAGCACTGAAAACAACTCAGTATCATTTACATAGTATAACTGTCAAAAATATACAACCTGAATATAATGATGAAAAAACTATTGTGCAAACCCATATTGATTAACAGTCTATTAAAACTTGCCTATATTCTTCAAAAATGTCAGGGTTATAGAAAACAAAAAAGGTCAAAGGACTTTTCCAGATTAAAGGGCATTTAAGAACCACATAGACAGGTTGATGACACCTCTGTATAAAACCAGGAACTCAGGAGGCTGAAGAAGGAAGATTCCAAGTTTGAGGCCAGCCTAAGCAATTTAGTGAGAACCTATCTCGAAACTTAAAAAAAAAAAAAAAAAGAACTGGGACTGGGGCTGTGGCTCAGTGGTAGAACGCTTGCCTCATATGTGTGAAGCCCTAGGTTCAATCAAGCACCACATAAAAATAAATAAATTAAATAAACATGTCGTGTCCATCTACAAATAAAAAAAATATTTAAAAAAAAAAAAGGTCTGGAGTTGTAGTTCRGTGGTAGAGTGCTTGCTAAGCATGAATGAAGCCTTCGGTTCAATCCCCAATACTTCCCCAAAAAATAAAGTGTACGATTTTGGATTATATCCTAGAATCAGAGGGAAAAGGGAAGGGATRTCATAAAAACTACTATTAGCACAATGGGCAGAATTAAGTATAACAACATATGTGAAAAGAGAGGATTATAAAGCAAAATGTGCCCCCCAAAAAACATTAAAAATTGGTGAAACCAATGAAAAGTATATAAAAGTTCACTGCATTACTACTATTATTACTTTTTATTTTTTGGCAGGACTGGGAATTGAACCCTTGTATGTGATAGGCAAGTAATCCCAGTGAGTTACATCCTTAGCCCACGCTTTTTTTTTTTTTTTTTTTAAGAATCGGACTGAACGCAGGGATGCTTAGCCAGTGGGCCACATCCCCAGTCCTTTATTATATTTTATTTATTTATTTTGATAAGTTTTTAAAAATATTTTAGTTTTTAGTTTTTGGCGGACATTTGTATGTGGTGCTGAGGATTGAACCCGGGCCGCCAGGCGAGCGCGCTACTGCTGGAGCCACATCCCCAGCCCCTTTTATATTTTATTTAGAGACAGGGTCTTCCTAAGTTACTTAGGGCTTTGCTAAGTCGCTGAGACTGGTTTTGAACTTGCAATCCTTCTACCTCAGTTTCTTGAGCGACTGGGATTACAGTGCTGCATCACTACACCCAGCATCCCAGTCCATTTTAAAATTTTACTTTGAGACATTGTTTCACTAAGTTGCCAGCCTGGCCTCATCTTCCTGTCTTAGCCTCTTGAATAGCTGGAATGACAGAAGTGAGCCATCATGCCCAGTTTTCATTGTATTATTCTTTCAATTTTTAAGTGTGAAAAATTTTGAAAATAAAAAGGTAAAAGAAATACATATACTCTATTACAAAAGGGAACTCATCATTAAGATTAAGGATTTGGGCAAAGTAATTTAAAACAAATGTAGCCTTTCTGAAAATGGAGTTATGATAATCTGAGGGCAAAGTAATAAGAATAATTAAGGATAAGGTCTACTCAAAATAAAATGTCTAACATAAGGACACAAGATGTTGAAAAAAGGTTATCCAGGTTACCCAATCAAATGTAGTCATACTGGGAAAATAACCTGTTTAATGTGGTACTAACTATAACTAAGATACCCAAATACGAAAAACTTACACTGGAAGTGAGGACCTTCTTCCTCTATTGGTTTTCTTTGCAATTACTGGAGTTCCAAAATGCTCTGGATTTGTTAATGGAAGCTGGTCAAGTGTCTGGTAAGAAATAGATGAATTAAATTCACATTTTACCTCTAGACCAATAGCTGTTGTTAAACCCAAAAAGTCCATCCCTGTCACCCTACCTCACTCTCTGCAAAATGTCTCTCTCCTTTCAAACAAAGTGATGTTCGTCTCAATGTTCTCTCATCACCGTCATCAAACACTACGAAATAAGCAAAAGATATCAGAGCATTTATGAACACAAATTAAATAAGAATGTCAATGCAAAGACTGGTATTGTTGCTATTTATTTAGAGCTTAATATTTGTTAGCAATTTTTCAGAACTCTTTAAAATGAACATAACACATTTTTTTTTTACACTGTATATACCAAAGAGATTCAGGTTAAATGGCTGCCCCAACTACTTTTTGCCATTTGCTTTTTAAATTTCTATCACTATAGAACTACCTTCTTAACATTAGCAAACCCAGCAAAGAATGAACATTAAACTTTCTTCCCTTTTAGAAGAATAAGCAAAAAAAAAAAAAAATGGTTTAAAAGAAATAGTACGAGTTCTTTTGCAACAGTTATCAATGGAGTACCCCTGACTTCTTGAAGCTGTTTGACCTCAGTAATGCTATTGGCTAATGCCACTTCTTCTACTTAATTACATGGTATGGAAATACTGGTTGCCAAATTTGAAAGTCCTAAGGATCAAGCTTTTCCTCTGCTAGAAAGACACTTATAAGTGAGTCTGAAATAAGGAAATTTCAGAAAGACAAAGTTGTTTCTTTAAAAAAGAAATTAAAAGAAGTTATGATCACTCAGTGAAAGTTTTTACTTTTACTACCTATTTAACACAATCATACTACTTTATTAACTATGTTTAAATAGTTCAAGAAATGAAGGTAGTTTAACAATTTCTCATTAATACTCCCCATAAAACTAACTATAGTTTTGATAATATTAATAGGTTTAATTTTGCAGAATGTACTGATTTTATCATAATATTAAGCTTATTAAGAAGAAAATGCTTTCAGAAGACATCTAATCATCTAGTATTATGAAGAAATAAAATATAAAAAGAAAGAATCCTCACCTCAGATACTTAAAATGCATATTCATACAATGGTGATTGTATATCTTATGAAAAGAGCATATTCACAGGAAAGCATATATATATACAAAATTATCATTATTAAGATCTAATCCTAATTTTCTTAATTCTAGATTCTTCAAAGGAAAACTCTACAACACCTCGACTTAATAACTTAAGAATTAGTTATATTAATATCAGAATGAGAATCCTGAATTTTTTTAAAAAAGGATGTTTCATTAGTAAGCACTCTGTCTTCAAATCATGAACTTATTTTTAAAAAGTTTTTAAAAGAAAACTTAAATAAAAGCACTTGTGTACTAATCTATTTCAATCAGTTCTCTTTCTGAGACTAAAGATATCTAGTTTATATTCTCTTATATGCARGAGACAATAAAAGGTACTGAAGCATATATTCAAAGAACCACAATGATTTCACAAAAGCAGCTGTGCTATRTGCTGTCCATGATCCAAAAATTGATGACTACCTGCACATACAATGACAGAATAAAACACAACATCCTCCATCAATTACATCACCAATCTGCTCTTGATTAATAATGTCCAAAATATGTACATCAAAATCATGATGTATATGTTAACAAGTATAATAAACCACAATTCTTTCAAAATTCAAAAGAGATCATTAAACTTAAAATAATTCTTCATCTTAGTATTAATGCCTGAAGTGTAAAGTTTCATAAAGAATAAAACCTTAAAGGTTTCAATTTTCCTTTACGCCTACAATGGTAAAGACAATGATACTGTGTATATACATATTTAAGTGTAGGTATGAGGAGAGAAAATGAGAATAAGGATGATTGATAATATCATATTTAAATAGCAAAGTCTTTTCACAGGGTTCTATCATTTGTCAATGGCAGCCCTAAATCAAAACATTCTGATGACAAATTTCTACAATTTATTTTCCTTAGTTTCTRTTCAAAAGAGGGTTRTGGTATGACTACTTCACAGTTTTATAAATGAACCCAAACAAAGAGAAATAGTTTTTTTTTAATTCACAAAACTACACAAATGTATATATTGAAGTACTTTATACATTTGTTAAGTAATGTAACTTTTAAAGATTTTCTGAAACTCATGAAAATCCAACAACATAGTGGAGTTATTAATCTTGACATCCCTGATTACCAAAACCTCAAAGAAGCTCCTTCTGAAAGAAGTTCCTCTCTTGGCTTCCATGATAAAAGTCCCATCCAAAAGAACAACAACAAAACAGAAAAGTGACTTTAGGATTTTGATAAGAGCGAAATGATTAGCTGTTGTCTAAAGTAAGATTTAGTTCACCTTTATGGTACGACATGCCAAGAGAAAAAATGTTTAACTCTAAGGATTTAATAATCTTTATGTCTGACGTCTACCAAAAATGGCATTTGAATAGGAAAGAACATGGATGTAAGTCAAAAGTAGTATCACTGTTATTGCAACACTTTTTGTAAATACGAAAATCTACTTAAAGGAAAACAAAAAAGATGATATTCTCATGACAACACTAATCATATTAAAAAGTCAAAACATACAAACSTTAAACCTCATCTGTTAAAATTCACAATCAGAAAACAATAAGGGGTGTACGGAGTGATACTGACCAAATTATATTGTTATACTGTGTGTGCATGTATGAATTTATAACAAGAAATCCCATGATTATGTAAAAAACTACAGTGTACCAATAAAAATATGGAAAGAGAAAAAACAAMAGGGGTGTAATTACTAAATACAAAAAATATCTGCCTGCCTGTTATAACAATGATAATTTAGGACAGTAAAATAATAACAGTAAATAAAGATATATCTTTCCAAAGATGTAATTAGCTACTGCTAATTAAGCTTCTACCATATTGTAATCCACACAAAAGTCTCTGCAAGTTGGGAATCACTATCCTTCTTTTATAGATAAAGAAACTGAGATTCAGAAGGTTAACCAATGAACTATAATTAATTTTGTTAAGGAAGAATCAAAAGACATAATAATCCGGTATGAGACATAAAATAAACCTACACAAACCTAGATGGTATAGCCTACTACACACCTATGCTATATAATATACTCTGTTGCTCCTAGGCTACAAAAAAAAGGGGAGGAAGTCAAGAATTCTGACTTCACAAAAATAAATATCATTGTTGTTATGTTTCTGGACAGCAATTAGGATTAACAGAATATTTCACATGCTGGGGTAAAAGCTTTAAAATTAATATATATATATCCTAGTTAGAACCAATAGTTTTTAAGAAATTTACTTTTACTTGACAAATAAAAATAGTATATATTTACACTATACAACATAATGTTATGAAATACAGTATGTATACATTGGAATGGCTAATCAAGCTAACATATGAATTACATCACATATATTTTTTTTGTGGTGAGAACACTTAGAATCTACTCTTGCACACAACAGATTTCTTTAACTTACTTAACAAATTTTGTATTGACTAATATCTCACCAATCTCTCATCCCCTGCAACCCACCACAGACCCCATAATTGCCATTCTACTCTTTTCTGAGTTTGACTTTTTTAGACTCTTCCTGTAACAAAGTTCATGTGGCATTTTTTCTTTCTGTGTCTGGCTTATTTCACTTAGCATGTCCTCCAGATTCATTCATGTTGTCAAAAGTGACTGGATTTCCTTCTTTTTCAAGGTTGCATGGTATTCCATTATGAATATATAGCACATTTTATTTATTCATTCATCTGTTGATAAAGTCTCAGATTGGTTCCATATACTGACGATTAGAAACAATGCTACAATGAATACGGGAGTGCAAATAGCTTTTAGACATTCTAGTTTCATTTTTCTTTGGATGTATGATAAACACCAGTGGAATTGCTGGATAATATAGAAGTTCTATTTTAATTTTTTGAGGAACCTACATTGGCTATCCTATTTACATTCCCCTGAACAAGGGTTGCAAACATTCTTTTTCTCCATATCCCTGTTAGTACTCCTTATCCTTTGTCCTTCTGATAACAGCCATTCCAACAAGTGTTAAGTGATTCCTMATGGTGATTTTAATTTACATTTTCCTGATGATTAATATGTTGAGCGTTCTTTCATCTACAGTCATGCATCAATTAACAAGAGTCTGAATATGTTCATGGATTTGTTGTCAGTGGTGTTAGTCAGCTTTTTGTCAACTTGACAAAATAATCTGAGAAAAACACCTTAGAAGAGGAAAGGTTTATTTTGACTTATGGTTTCAGTCCTTTGTCAGCTGGCTCCAAGGCACAAACATCATGGTGGAAGGGTGTGGCAGAGGTAAGCTGCTCATATAATAGCAGCTGAGAAGCAGAAAGAAAGAAAAGGGTCAGGTATAGTCCCTAAGGGTATGCCCCCAAGGAACCACACCATCCAACTAGATTCCGCCTCCTCCGGTTTCCACCACCTCCCAATAGTCCACTAAGGTATGAATCCTTCAATGGTCAGAGCCCTCAAGATCTAATCACTTCCCCAAATCCTCATCTCTGTACTGGGGACCAAGCCTTCAACACATGAGCCTTTAGGACACACACCAGATCCAAACTATAATATCATGTGATTTCATCATTGTGAGAACATCACAGAGGGTGCTTACACAAACCTAGATGGTAAAGCCTATTATATAAGTAGGCTGTATAATACAGTCTATTGCTCCTGGGCTACAAACTTGTACAGCATGTTACAGTACTGAATACGGTAGGAAAGAGTAACACAAGAGTAAGTACCTGTGTATTTAAAATATCTAAACATAGGGTACAGTAAAAATATTGCATAGAAAGTCAAAAAATAGTATCTCTGTTATTACAACACTTGATGTAAATCAAAAATCTACTTAAAGGAAAACAACAAAGATGAGATTCACCTGYATAGGGCATTGACCATCAATGGAATCTGAAGACCAGAATTGCTTTGGGTAAGTCAATGATGGAGTGGTGAGTAGATGTAAAGGCCTAGAGTAAAACCATACACTATGTAGATCTTATAAACATTGAACATTTAGGCTCCACTAAACGTATTTAAGATTTTTTTTCAATAATAAATTAATCTTAGCTTACTGTAACTTTTTAGTTTATAAAGTTCACTTTTAAACTCCTTGACCCACATAACAATACCCATTTT